ATTAAAAGACACTCTTTAGCATAGGGGAGGACAACCGTGGCTTCTGGACAGATGGGGCTCCATCACTGTTTCAACAACCTCAAGGGCAATCAGCCTTGCTAATACACACCCAGCGGTCAAGTGAAAGTCTCCTGGCTACCCTATCCAAGTGGGTCACTGCCGCCTCCTCTTCGGCCAGGCTGTGCTACGGAGGTCTGCCAAGTCCTGGTGTGGTCCACTGCCTCTTTTAAATGCCAGAAGTGGTTGGGGCCTAGGGAGGTCAGAGAGTACTGCTCCCCACAGGAACCAAGAGGCGCAGTCGATGATGAGAGAGGCAGAGATTTAGGTCATCTTGGGGAAGATGATTTCTGTGTACCAGCTACCTCTTGCTTATTGTTTGGTATTCGTGCTTTTCCGTGGTGCCTTTGAATGTTCTAAATTAAGCGTCTTAAAGGTGATTTGCAAAGATTTCAAGTAAAGGTGATCCCATCATTCTATAAACAGCCTATTTGTCATTTTCTGTAAATAGAACTGGCAAGCCTTTCATCAGTCTTAAAATATCACCTCCCTTGATTTCCCGCCACCTTCCCACCGATGCCTCACTTTCCTTTCCAGAATTCCTTAAAGTGACAACCCATCATGCGCCAGGACCAGGAAGGCTCTTGGGGCATGGAGATGCTCAAGAGAGTAAGAGACACCGGTTGGTCTGGGGGCAGACCCACCAGGACTTCTGTCTGCGTGCGTGACTCCGCGATCCTGGGACAGAAGGGCAAAGCTGCACCAGAGGCAAGGACCTCAGCATGGAGACTGAGATTAGGCTGTTTCCTGAGCCGAAGACAGGTAAGATTTATTTTACAAAGTTCACGGTGGGACACTGTCAGGCCCTTCCTGCATAAAGAGCTTCAGAAAACAGGGGAGCGAATCAGCTGATGGAATACCCTGATACTTGAAAAAAATTCTTCTGTGTGTGTGTGTGTGTGTGTGTTCTTCCCTATACATGGTCTAACTTCTGCTTATCAACGCCTTGATTTTGACTTTGGGCAATCCTCAAAAAAGGTACTTTCACCCTCTCACCCACTATATGGGATCCTCAATAGATCTCCGGAGCAAAGATAGTCACAAATAATTACGTCCCCTGGTGGCATAATGGTTATGTGCTGGGCTCCTAACCCCAAGGTCAGCAGTTCAAAACCACTTTCGTTGTTGGGGGAAGGCAGGGCTTTCCACTCTTGTAAAGAATTCACCTCAGAAACTCTCGGGACAGTTCTACTCTTCCCTACAGGGTCGCTATGTCCCCACGGGCTCTGTGGCAGTGAGCTTGGTTCTGATTATTGACATGTAGCCTTGATAGCCCTATGGGATGGTTCCACTCTGTCCGGCAGGCTCGCCACGAGTTGAAAAGGTGGCAGCAAAGAGGTTCTTGAGAGGCGGAGGCAGCGTGATCCAGTGGAAGAATCCCAGCCCTCCGCATGGGAGACTTGCGCCCCAGAATCACTCGTCCACCAAGCACATCCATCACTCACCCACCAGCGGAGGCCTGTGAGGACTGTTATGACGCTAAACGGATTTTAGCAAAGTTTCTGAACTAAGACAAACAAGAGGGAAGACCAGGCAATCTATTTCCAATAAAACCAACCAATGAAAACTCTATTGATCATCATGGTCCAATCCCACTGTGCATGGGATCCCCAGAGCTGGGGGCTGACATACAGCAACTACAACAACGTTTAATCCCAGTGCTGAGGCACTTGGGAAATATCCAAAGATTAAGAATCACAGCCTCTATGTAAGTGCTACAGACAACTTCCCTATGGTGGAATAATTTAAAGTGATGAAAAGTGAGGAGGTCACTTTGAGGACTAGGCGCACCTGAACCAAACCAACGCATTTTTAATCCCCTCATATACATATGACGGTTGGAAGGGGAAAAACTGACGCATTTGAACTATGGTGTTGGTAAAGACTATTTAAAGTACCATGGACTGCCAAAAACAAAGAAATCTGTCTTGGAAAAAGTATAGTCAGATGCCCCTTAGAAGCAAAGGTGGTGAGATTCCATCTCCTGGACTTCGGACACGTCATCAGGAGAGTCCAGTCCCTGGAGAAGGACAGCGTATTTGGTAAAGCGGAGGGTCAGTGGAAAAGAGGAAGACCCCCAGTGCGCTGGACTGGCACAGCCTCTCAATGGGCTCAGGCAGAAGAACGACCATGCGGAGGGCACAGGCTGGCGCTGTGTTCACCCCTGTTGCACGTAGATCCTCCGTGAGGTGGGACCCGCTCAAGAGCACCGGAAGCAACAGCAGCAGCATATTTCTATAAGTTTCTATAGGTCTATATACTGCCTGGCAGTGACTGCTCAGTGCCCAAACCTACCCACTCCTGCCTTCTTCTAGGGAAGAGATCCTCAATTCCAAGCCAGGCACACTCCTGCCTGGCATACAGGTTTTCATGTGGAACCATGAAAAAGTTCATTTAAAAATTCCCTTTAAATCCATTTTTCCATGAACGTTTTAAAGGACCCCCTCCCCACTGCCATATCTCCTAAGCTCCCCTGCAGCCATCTAAGTAAGGCTGGTCAATACTACATGGGTGACATCTCTACAAATGATCCTGACACAAAAAAGATCACCCCGGGCTGTCAGCAGTGCCGCGGTGAGAGCTGGAGCTCCGGTAGCCATCTACGGAAGAAGCCGCATGCAAGCTGAGCAATCTGGTCCCTGGTGATGCTCCAAAGAGCCCGCGCTCTCTGTGATGGCCCTGGAACAAAACACTAACTGCCAAATCTATCATGCAGGCCAAGGAGCCCGGGAATTTAAAAAAAAAAAGTTTTAATATTAACCTTATTTTCCCCTTCCTCAGCTTGCCTTCACTCATCTTAGATTTATAACTGAACAGAACCAAATGAAGGAGGAGCATAGCATCGTTCCCACAAGGGCGAGGGCTCCAGATCAACTCTCTCTTTGCCCATGAACACCATCTCCTGCATACTGTCACTCCAATTCCACTGGCTGAACACCCCATACTGGCCATCCCTTGGAGCTTCCGGAGAGAGCAGCCTGTGTTTAGGACAGGAGTCCAGCATAGTGCAAGTGGTTGCTGTGCTCACGGCTAACCTGAAAGTTGGTAGGGGGAGAGCACCCTGAGGTGCCATGGAAGAAAAGCTTAGCAATCTACTTCCAACAACCATCTGCCATTAAGAACCCTACGGAGCACCGTCCCGAGGCTAAATCCACCAGGTTGGATTGTCTTGGTGACATTGCCCAGTGCTCATCAGAGACCTCAGGTGTCACAGCCATCCTGGGTACAGACCCAGGGGCTCCCCGTAGGAAAGTAACTCATGGTGTGAAGGGCAAAACCACCAATCCCTTTTCTTTAATTATTAGCCTAACAGCAGAGCATATGGGTTATTTTGATTTTGTAAGCACCCAATCCCAATACAGAACAGTATGAACAATAATAGATAACACTTATTGATTCATACTATGTATCAGTTATTATACTATTTGAATAGCACTCTGGCTGATATATATATAGATATCAATCATGTGGAGTTCAAAATAAATAATGTTATACCGATGAGGAAACCACAGTTGTAAGAATTTAAGACTATATAGCTTATAGCTAGTTCACAGCAATGAATCCTGAATTATCCATAAGCCTGAAAATCTTTCTCTTACATGCTTCTACCTCCAGCAATTAAGTAAAACAATTTAAAAGACTATTTGTTTTTCTCTCTTCAGAACTGTAATAAAACATTCAAATGCTACCTCAGTTTTATATTAACATTAGCGTTCCTTAAATATAAGCGAAACAAACAACATTCCACAGCTTTGTTCCACAATGGGTTGATAACAGTAAACCGCAAATGGAGCAGTTACACAACGTGTGTTTTCCTACATAATTCCACCTTTCGCCAACAGTTTTCCTCTGCATGTGACCTGTGCGCCTTCGTAGCCAGGGTCACCATGCGCCGTTCAATCTGTCAACACCCCAATGACAAAGGAATGCCTGTAATGACATGCTTCTGCGTAATTAAATCTCTGTAGGCCATTCCTTTTGAAACCAGTCTGATTTATTTCCACCTCTGGGGTGGACTTCTCTTCAATAAAAAGGAAGCAGACTGGAAGCAAGCAGACCCTGAAAGCACACATTGAATATGCCAAGCTGTTTAGCCAGGGTACACACAATAAATGAGTTAAGAATACACAGACAGAAGAAATCAATCTCTCAATAAAATTAAGGTAAATGCCCCTACATATATATTTGTGCACGCATGCGTATTCCTGTATAATTTAAAGATAGACAAGAGGAGGCTTGAAAAATTTGTGGATAATATCCATTATCTTTTCATTCCAATTTTCCAGTTTTACAAGCTGCTCATGTGTGTATGTATACACACAGTGTGTGTGTGTGTGTATGGATACACACACTCATATGGATATGCATATTTGAATATGTATGATAATGTGTATAGGTATACATAAAGATAATGTGTGTGTATATTTCAACAATGATATGTGTGTGTGCATGTGCATATAAAAGATAATGGTACGTTTCCACAAGCTTGTGAGTCTGTATATGTACACATTTGCACGTATATGTATATACCTGCCAGTGGCTGCAACAATGGGCTCTGACTAAGAACAAGTGTGAGGACGGCGCAGTAAAGCGCAGTGTTTTGTTTTGTCGTACAACGAGTTGCTATGAGTTAGAAACGACTCCAGGGCACCTAATCTCATGAAAGCTTATCATTAGACTCAGGAATATTTTCTTGCTGAAAACTAAAGATTAAACGAGGCTGTGAGAATGAAGTCACACGGAAGCTTAGAGCTCCCTCTTTCTTCCTCTTGAAGAAATTCACCAAAGCCCCGCTCCGAGGAGAGCGAAGCTATCAGATGGGCTCATCAGCCTCGTGCTCAGAGCTGGCCCCCCTGCAAGGGAGTACATTTACTGGTGGCTCACTATTCATAGGTGGCTTAAGCAGAGGGGAGGCAAGCACTGTTCAAAGCAGAAATACTCACAGAGCCATGTCAAACTGTTCCAGCCATTTTTTCTTCAAGTCTTTTGTTTTGCAATAAAATTCTAAGCCATTTTGTCCTTGGATATGGATGAGGTAGAAACCATAAGACCACTGTTAAAAATGAAAATGATTTGTGTCAATATGTATCATGAATTAACAGCATCCATTTATGCCCTCAAATCCATCTTAATTATACCAAAAAAACCCTGTAACACTGTCAGCAAACAAACTATGTCCAATCTACCGTATTACTGTCATCAATGCCATGCCTACAATCAATTCTACTGCCAAGTGCAGGGCTCTGTCTTGATCATGAAGGCATTAGAGATGCTCCGCTCCACTGCGGCATTGCCCAGTTACGTCTCAGAGGGTCGTCCCTACTCAATCTCTAGACACAAAACCATCTGAATTGGTAAGCTCACTTTTCCTCCCTAGTCAATGTCATGACTAAGGTACAGCATCTAACACCAAGGTCTCACCTTTTTAGTCTCCTTATCAGTGGTAGGGTTGTTGGCTATCTTGTACTGCTGAAGATCTATTATCTCCTTCATTTCATAGTTGTCACCTTTTCGTTTACACACGATCACTGCCAAGTCAAATAGGAATATATGCCTGGGAAGACAGAGAGGGGGAGACTGAATGATGGGAAGTGGTCTGGCAGCTGGTAGGTTTATTTTTCCCCCCTGGGACAATTTAATTTAACCAACCACTTGCTTTTTCTTTTCAGTGAAAGACAAAAAAAAAACACAGTGCTGCTCACTGAAAAGAATGTGATAGTTGAGGCTATAGAACTAGGTGTGTCTTGGTACCAAACCAACCAACCAACCCACCAATTACTGTCCAGTCCATCCCCACTCCTGGTGGTCCAGAGCTGAAAATGAACTGTTTCAATGGTTTGCTGGAGGATGAGTTCAAATGGAGGCAGATAGACCACCCCGACTTTTTTCTGCCGCCTCCCCAGGTGGGCTCCAGCCAGGACTCTAGTGATTAGTAGCAAAGTGCTAATGAATCGCCTCACTGTTTGTACTGGTTTCCTTATTTACAAAATCACCATAAAAATCCATGTGCATACAGAGCAGTGCCCAAGGAACAATAGAGCTAACCCATAAAGCTTTGTTCAGGAGTGATTCTTGGGGTGTGGTTTTTAAAATGCTAAATTTACATGGCAATAAAGTTAACTATAACACCCACTCTCCTGGGATGTTACTGAATCATCAGCATCTATGAGAGGACTGAAGTTAGCTCATTTCACAAGCCTGACACACTCTCAGCCCTGTGACCATCCCTGCGAAGGCAGGCATCACCATCATCTTCATTTTACTGAGCTGGACAGACGTTGGACAATTTGCTCAAAAGGCACACTCTTGGTGAAGGCCAGGGCAGGGCTCACCCCCAGATCCAACTGCCAGGAGGTTGCTCTGACTTAGAGGCCACTTGGAGAGAAACTGAGCAGTGCATGGACAAAAAGTACAGTAGAGAAGTTATGGTTAAGATGTAATGTTGATATTTCTCTCTTTTTGTCGTAAAGCAGTGAAATTCAGGAAAGGAAGCCTACCTTAAGACCCTATTATCGGTATTTTGATCTTTCCACAAACTCTCAGTGACCAATATGCGTATGCTTTTGTACACAATGATAATGATGCTGCAGATAACCATTCCCATAGGTCTCCCACTGGAATCACTTTCAAAGCCGCTTGCTCTCTGAGACGCGGCTTAATGGAGGTATGATTTCTGGGAGCAATCTGGAGCCAGGGCATCGGAGTGGAAACAAGAGTTGATGCTGCCCCCTGCTGGCTGACCAGCTCGTCTTCAAAAATTCCAGATAATGCCCATCTCTGCCACAAAGGCGGTTGCTGTTGGTTGCAAAATTAACTACATCTATGAGAGGGTTTCAAAATCCAGAGGAAAATGGAATGAAAGGATAATGCAATTTTCCCATGAACTTTTTGAAGCTCTCCTATAAATATATAATGGGTATTTGTTGTTACCCTCTATTGAATCGATTCTGAACAGTTAGATTCTTCAACTACCTAAGGACCCTAGTGGCCCTGGAGGTTAAGTATTCCCACAAGGGCAGCGGTTCAAACCCACAAGCACCTCTGAGGAAGAAGGGTGAGGCTGTCTGTTCCCACAGAAATGTACAGTCTTGGAAACTAAGAGGCAGTTCTACTTTATCCTGCAGGCTCCTTCCCCATGAATCAGAATGGACTCCTGGCAGTCGATTTGGGGGGTTGTTGCTGGTTTGTTGTTGTTGTTGTTGTTGTTGCTGTATTTTTATAGGCTCTTCAAGGCTATGGCCTTTTGTAAGTACCGTATATACTCGAGTATACGCCGACCCGACTATCAGCTGAGGCACCTAATTTTACCACAAAAACTGCATTACAAATGTGCTGGAAAACTCAGCTTATACACAAGTATATACATCACCCAGTCTGTGCAACGTCTGAGGCGGCTCTGGGTGAGCACACACAGGCAGCCTGTTGGGGAGTAAGGGGACACTTCACCGCGTGCGTGCGTCGCTTAGGAACTCCACGGCCAAAAGGCACCAGCTAGACAGACAGTGTATGGTCAGAGGCACCTCCCAGTGCACACCTGCCAATTTCAGTCAAGAGAATCTCACTACCAGAGCCCCATTCAGCCTTCTCTATAAGGCCATTTTCTACTCTGCTATTTTAATATGCAGACCAAAACATCAGACCCGTGTTTTCGTTTTCCGAGTAGGGGTTTGTTGTTACTTGATGTCTATTTTTATTCTAGTATACACTTTTTCAGCCTTGAGAGTCTTTCCTGGATATGCCGTGTCCTTCTGGAGGGCTTGAACGGCCGATAGGTGTCCTCACAGCGAGCGATCGGAAAGCAGTATGCCCAAGTTAGAAAGTGTCAGGGAGCACAGGTGGCTCTGTCCTCTCACCTTCTTCTCACTTTCCTCTCTTTGGTCCCGGACAAACCGTTAGGTAGTAACATAGGGGGTTGTTCTCTCCATGCCTAGGGGTCCCTACACGAGGTTGGAAGGCAATACAGGCTAAAGGGCGCATGCCAATTCAGGCCCAGAGGCAGGAGTGGGCGGTGCACCTAGGTGGGCCCAAGCTAGGCCAGGTGGCTTAAATCAGCCAATGGGGTCAGCCAGTACCATTGACCATGCTTCCCAGTGGAAGACCCTAAAAGTCGTAACCTGGAGACCATCGCCCTCTTTTCTCCTCTGGGCTGGGCCGTTCTCTCTCTCTCTATCTCTCTCTCTCTCTCTCTCTCTCTCTCTCTCTCTCTCTCTCTCTCTCTCTCTCTCTCCTCTCTCTCCTCTCTCTCCCCACCCCCACGCCCCACCCCAGGTCTCTACATGTGAGGGTGCCTGAGTTCAATTTACTGTATTGCCCCAAACTGCTTCTATCCTTTATAAAAACCCACTGGGATCACAAACGAGGCTTTGGTATGAATTCTTTCCTGTGTGAAGCCAAGGACCGAGGGATTTCTCAACCCGAGAAGTCTAACAAAACTGTTGTAAGGTTTTCTCAAACTTCTGATATCCCCAAAGCCAACCAAGTCTGTTGCTGACAAGTCAATTCCCACTTTGAGCAATCCTCGTGGGCAGAGCAGCCGAACCCCATACCCAGCCCACGAGGGAGCGCCTCAGCCTCCTCCCAGGGAGCGCAGTGGGTCAGCTGTCAGCTAACAGCCCTGTGCTTAGGCACTGCCCAGCAGGGTTCCTGGGCTGTGGAAGGAAGACTACTGATTTGCTCACCTGTCCTGCTTCGTATGCTTGTCCAGAGTGGTTATGCGGATTTCACCATCTCCCTGAGGTCTTCCAAAAAGCAAAACTGGTTGGTTCTAAAAACAAAACACAAAAATGTGCAGATCTGAGTTTGGCATAAGCACATCTATACAGATAAATGCTAGGGCAGAGGAGAGCATATGCATTCATCTTTGTATAACCTTAATGAGGAAGCTCGCTGCCCAAAGAACAAACTGCTGGGAAGAACCCATCGCACGAGGTTGACAGGGACTACACTGCAGGGGAAGGAACGTGGCACTGCCCCGGCCCTCTGGGGTCATACTGGAAGAACAGAATTATGAGTGCACAAGTGCCAGGAAGGGAAGGATTAGGAGGCGTGCACAGCAAGGGGTCTACTCTGCCCTACAGGACTGGGAATGGCTTCCCTGACCTAAGTCTCAAAAATGAAAACTTGCAACTTATTGGTTAAAAACAATGAACAATTTCAGGGAGCCAACCCAAACAAATGGAGTTAATGAATACCTACATGGCCACGTTTTAAGGGAATAAAAAAAATTTATTGAAAACCTATCACTGACATTCTAATAAAGGAGACAGACATGTAATCAACTGTGCTTCAAGAAAGCATAAGAATCAATGTGGAAACAGCTGTCTGTCCAGGCAAGGTGTTATGGAATTACAAAAAGATTAAGGAAGGGAAATGATGTTCCTTGATCTTGAGGGAACTGGGTAGGGAACAATGAAAAGTCATTCCAGGCTCTGAGGAGGTGAAGTTCAGAAGGAGAATTATGCAAAGGCATGGCAGTTTAAAGAGCATAAACCACAGGAGGGCAACTACAATATAAAGCATGTGGGTGGTTACAGAGGGTGCCTGTCAGATCACTGAGGGGCTCAGAGCACATCCTGAGGAACACGGGCTCAACCCTGAAGACAACAGAAAATGTTCACAAGTTAGAGAAAGAGTAAGCTGGAAAATGTACCTTTTGGAAACGCAACCGCATGAGGACACTGCTATTTCTACAAGATGGGGATGATGGGGTTCTGACGTGAGGAAGTGGTTGTAAGAGCAAGAGCAGGAGAGAGCATTAAGGCTGCGCTGGCAAAAACTTAGACTCAGGCCTGCCTTTATCTCCATCATCACGGCCAAGAGTTAAGTCACCATCACCACGCTCTCTCAACGGTTTGCAACTGCGTCTGCCTGTTTAAAAGATCTTCTTGGAATGTGAATCAGATGGTGGCATGCCCTGATTAAAACAACAACTTCCACTCGCGTCCCATAGCAGTCATAATACAAACTCCACTCCACATGTGGACACACAGGGCTATAGTGTGTAGTTCCCCTCGGCACACGCCACCCTCCTCTGGCTCTCACTCTCCAGCCTCCTTTCCCTTCTGACTTCTGGAATACACCTGGCTCTCGCCTGCCCCTGGGCATTGCACTTTGGTCTGTCTTCCCCTGGATCTGTGTGTGTCTTGCTTCTTCGCAGCCATTGAGTCCCAGTTCAAATGACAAATGGCTCAGAGGACTTCTTCGAACCATCTTATTAAACAAAGACATTCCATGATTAGCCTCTGATAAGTACCGACCTTACAGCACTAAGCTCAACATGGCATTTTTAGCTCCTTTTTAACTGCCTACTCACCCCCAGAACCATCTCCTTCATAGTTACAGCCCTGGCACCAAGCCTGTGTCCCACCTGTAGCAATCCCCTGGTAAACAGATGCAACAGGAACACAGGAGCCGGGGCCAGCCGAGAGTATGCATGTGGGTCAGTGAAGGCCAAGACAAAAGTGGACCCTACGCTTCGAGCTTAGACTTCTGGGAGAAGAGGGACAGAGCTACTGGGGTGAGAAGGACAAGGGACAGACAAGAGGACCATCGGGAAGTCATGTCGATGCCCCAAAAGTGTGAGTGGCACATTAGCCTCGGAACAATGGAAAGCTGATGGTAAAATAATGGCTAGGATGCGCTCGGGTTGGGGATGGGGGGAGTTGGATGGAAGGATAATCACATACCAGGTTTTCTATAGATAGCTGAAACTGTTTAATCTCACGCAAGGTCTCGTTGTCCCTTTTCACTTCGTTCACATATTGTGCCAGGTCCTGCAGAGCAACGAGAAGAGGGCGACAAGAGGGCGTGCTGAGAAGGAGTGGAAAGCAGAAACACGCCACTCGTTACCTTAGCAGTAACCACTGCCATCGTCTCTTTTCAATGGGAATAAAATGAACATTCAGTCCGTCAAAACTGCTTCTCAGAGGCACTTTAAAATTGTCCGAAGGCAGCTGGGAACACCGAAGGGTGACCACCTACCACAGTCCAGAGACGAGCCAGGAAGGGTGCTGCTGCTTACGGGGGCAAACGTGCCACCATGCAGGGCAATAACGGCCCGCTGGATCAGAAGGATGTACACTCTAAATGCATTCAGACCTGGAGAGTTACATTTCCACGCGGGCTAGGACAGGGCAATTGTGAAGGATTAACAGGGGGGACAGTCCCCGCAAATGAGACAACAGGTCTGGCAAGGGCTATTGTGTGCAGCCACTTGGTCCCTCAGCTACTGAGAGCGGTCACCCAAGGAAGCCTGCTGGGCTGTAAAGGGGGGGCGGGGCGGGGGGGACTGTGAGAAACTAAGGGGCCTGGCAGTGAATTAAAGTCAACAACGAGCAGCCCCGCGGGCCAAGTCTCTTTTCTCCATGTCTCTTCAATGTCTACTTTGCATTGTCTTCTGATATTTGAGGACACATGAGCGGATCATTCCCTACTGTAACTAGCGACTTTTGTTACGTGGGCGTCAGATTTTCCTGGGTTTTTATTGGGGTGTTTTCTTGAGCTTTTTGTTTTTTCTCTCCCCTCTGGTGGGGCTGCAGCAGTTGGCACAGAAGTCTGAGAAACGCAGGTCCTACTTGTGTTCTAATGGAAACCTGACTCTTCGTAGGATGGGCCGGTAAATGGCTTGTTTAGAAACTAGAAACTTCATGACTTTTTAATAATAACAAATTAGTGCATGATGTTTCCTGATAATGGTGCTAAAATCCGTCTAACAGCACTGCTAACACAGACACACACAGACGCACATGCACATCCTATGGACACTGGGCTGATTCCTTCTCATAGCTACCCTGTGGGGCAGAGTGAAACTGCCTCTATGGCGGTTCTCAACCTGGGGGTCGAACGACCCTTTCACAGGGGTCACCCAATTCAGCACAGTACCAAACTTACAGCTATGAAGTAGCAACAAAAATAATGTTATGGTTGGGGGGTCACCACAACATGAGGAACTGTATGAAAGGGTCGCAGCATGAGGAAGGTTGAGAACCACTGCTCTAAGGTTTCTGAGGCTGTAAATCTTCCTTCCTTGGATTAGCTGGTGGGTTCGAACTGCTGACCTTGATGTTAGTAGCCCAATGTACCACCTACTATGCCACCAGAAATTGCTATAGGCTGACAAATGAGTAAGTGTGTACTACTCTGAACAAGGGAGAAAAACTCAGTTTTCTCCTCCTGCAAAGAGTTACAGTTTTGGAAACCCACCAGGGCTCACTAGAGTCAGCACGGACCCCATGGCAGTGCGTTTGGTTGGGTTTACTCTGAGCAAAGTCCCTTCAGCATTTGGTTTGCAAGAACAAATACTGTATTTCACATTGTCATGGGTACACAGTATTTCAAGGTCCTTTTGTTCAGTATAACATGAAAATTGGGTAATGGTTCATGATATTTCATAATTACCTAAAGATAAAACCGCAAACGGGATTCACTTAGACTGACGTCCACCATCCCCAGTGTTAAGTCTGACGAGAATCCTCGTCTAAGGAAAGTAACTCAGACCTAGCTTTCCAAAGTCACTGACGGACTCTTGTTCACCCAGCCAAGAGTTTTCACAAAAAGAGGCGAAATAAGACCATCATATGAAATAATTTTGATGGTCATGAGAGTGGTCACATTTATACAAAAGCTATTTAACAGACTCCTTTGTTGTGTGTGTGTTTTTACTAACTTAATTAAAACTGCACCAAGATACCTATTTCAATAACAAATACCCAGCTCTCCCAACCAAAACCACAATTATTCATGTTTACTATGTTCCTACCTATCACAGAGTCATGCATATTAGCAATGTAAATTCTTCCATTCATAGGCAAGAACCGAGAATATAAACAGTGACTGGTGCATTAGCCTTACCTTCATTGCATCAAGAGCAAGTTTCAGATTTGCCTTCTCGGTGGAATCAGTGGTATGTTTAACCAGTTCCTATTTTAAAAGATAAAAGTCTTAATACTGCTTTCATTTGATTAAAATCCAGACAGAAGAAAATACTTTTCTAAAAAGTAAAACATTTTATTCATTGAATAACGTGATTTAAAAGAATATTTTCATAGAAAGTGTCAAATAACTGCAAGACTGGATACCAACAGAACATGAAACAATACTCTGGACCATTTTGTTCCAAAGATGAATCTGAATCCTATCTCCCACACTGCACTAACAGAGCTTCCCAAGTGCCAGGAAAGAGCCCCTACTTGCCAAGTGAGCGGATATATTTGACGAACTATCACACTTGGTCTCCTGATAGCTTTGGGTTCCGGTGACCACCCTGTCCTCTGGTTTAAGGGCATCTCCAGCTGCTGTGTGTTGTGCTCGGTTACTCATTGATCCATGCTGTTTGTTCTCTTCCCGCCTCTTTCATAGGTCTCGCTTTTCATCTGCACCTGAGGACGTTCTTGTGGCCTGGATTTTCATCTTTGTCCATGTTTTTTCAAATCCCAACTTTACACATTCTAAAAAGCCCATCGCCACCACTGCTAGAATGCTACCTGTCACCTGATGGGGCAGTCCCATGGGCTCACGTGATCTGAATTCAGCAACCCTGCCCCACCTCTCTCTTTACTTCATCCTAACAATCGATACCCTATTAATCCAACATTGCCCACAAACAGCAAAAGGAACTCCAGTCTGTAATCCCATTAGGCAGACTGCTTTCTCTCCTTGCCCTTCCCTCGGCTATTGTCAACCTCTTGTTCATCCTTCGAAGCCCAAGTCAAGAACCACTTGTCTGTGAAAGTTTCCATTAGGGAGAACTCTAGACCTGCCCACAACCTCCTCCTAAACTCCAAAACACAAACCAACTCCAGGGCCACGGAGCTAAATCCAATTCATCAGATCCTGTAGGACAGCGAAGAAAGGCCCCTGGGAGGTTCCCGTGGGAAAAGAAAGCCCGTCTTTCTCCCACTTGCCTGATGGGTTCAAATTGCTTGACCTTGTGGTTTGTAGCCAAACATATCTCCTAATAATGCAGGCCTTCATTTGTACCAACTTTGACTTCCTACCTACGTATCACATTACATTAGAAATAGTATCTTTCATTTTCTCTTCCCATCTAAACGGGCTTCATCAGACAGGGGCTTCGTCACATGAGCAGTAATTCTGGGCTTGGAACCAGGGAACCACACACACATCCACACACACCGCCACGGAGGCCTTTCTGATTCACGACACCCCCATGAATTACAATCCCGAAATGCTCCACAGAGTGTTCGTGGCTCTCATCTTTATGGACGTGGGTCAGCAGATCTCTCTTCCTGAGCCCCTCCAGGTGGGCTCACACTGCCAGCCTGTGGGTTAAGCAGTGGAATGCAAACTGGATGTGTCACCCAGGCACCTCAGCTCAGGGAGGCCACTCAAAACTGCGCCGAGTTCAACGCCATGGATGCTTCTAGCTGTGACCAGATGACCCGACATTGGACCACATGTGCAGCACACGTATCGAATTTTTATTCTCTCTCTCTCTCTCATTTCTGCTTCTCAATCAAATATGGTGGGGGGGAAATGAGGAGCTGATGGCAGGGGCTTAAGTGGAGAGCAAATGTTTTGAGAATGATGAGGGCAATGAATGTACAAATGTGCTTTACACAATTGATATATGTATGGATTGTGAGGAGTCATATGAGCCCCTAATAAAACGATTAAAAAATTAAATATGGTAAAATACTCAAATTTCAAATTCCTCAGTACAAAAGATGCTCATTTTTAAAATCTGTGATTTCAAATCATCAGGTATTTTCTTTTTTTTCCTAATCAGTTTATTGGGGGCTCATACGACTCCTATCACAATCCATACATACACCAATTGTGTAAAGCACATTTGTACATTCATTGCCCTCGTCATTCTCAAAACATTTCCTCTCCACTTAAGCCCCCAGCATCAGGTCCTCATTTTTCCCCTCCCTCCCCGCTCCCCCTCCCTCATGGACCCTTGATAATTTATAAGTTATTATTCTGTCATATCTTGCCCTGTCTGACGTCTCCCTTCACCCACTTTCTGTTGTCCGTCCCCCAGGGAGGTCACATATAGATCCTTGTAATTGGTTCCCTCTTTCCTACCCACTCTCCCACTACCCTTCCAGTATCGCCACTCACACCACTGGTCCTGAAGGGATCATCCACCCTGGATTCCCTGTGTTTCCAGTTCCTATCTGTACCGGTGTACATCCTCTGGTCTAGCCAGACTTGCAAGGTAGAATTTGGATCATGATAATGGGGGGGGGGGGGGAGCATTTAGGAACTAGAGGAAAGTTGTATTTTTCATCATTGCTACATCACACCCTGTCTGGCTCGTCTCCTCCCCAAGACCCCTCTGCAAGGGGCTCTCCAGTGGTCTACAAATGGGCTTTGGGTCTCCACTCCGCACTCCCCCCATCATTCACTATGGGAAGAATGTTTGTTCTGATGATGCCTTATACCTTCATCAGGTATTTTCAAAGGTGATTCCTCCACTACAGAAAATATTTAAATGCATAACCACATTTGTTTGACAAATTCCAGACAGTAAATAAATGAATTTTACTTTGGCACAATTTTGAGATAAAAACCATTTCTAGAATTTTTATCTATTGTGCAGCTCAAAATAAAAAGTCTTATTTTAACAAGTCATCAAAGAGAACTAAATTTAAAAGATGAAGCAAACAAAGGAATAAGGGGGGTTGGAGTTAGCCGATTTTCTAAAAAGTGCAGTCATATTTTATACTTTGAAAGTCTTTTAAAAGATCTTTGTAAAATAGATATTTTTTAAAAAGATACCTTTTATGTTCTCCAAATCAATATCTGACTATACAAAAGTTATGAAATATTATCTTATTTTGGATATGTTTTCAGTTCCAAGATTTCTCAGAAACAGATTGCTTGAGTCTTCCTTATTATTTTTTCATAAAATCCAATTTGATTAAGGCGGTGTGAGTTTAGGTCTCATAAATGTTTCAATGCATTTTAAGAAATAATCAGGGTTTGAATTTTTCTGATTTCTCAGTAGAACAAAAATAGAGACAAGTCATAACCCTGTGGCTACAGTTGAAGAAATTTAATAGACTGGCATGTGTCACTTACGGCACACAATGTGTTCTGTGAAAGGGATGCTCCGTGATTTGGATGTTGTGGGAACACAATAGTACATGCTTAGCAAACAGACATAGTGAGCAATAGCATTCGCTGATTTGCCACTTCAGTGTGGATTAATAACCCTTTGTTTCACTTCTAGATTGATGCTTCTCCCTCACCGCTTGCTGCTGCTGTGACTAACGGTGGTTATGCATTATTTAGGAGCCACAATGCACTTCACAATACTATAAGGGGGCTTCAAAAAGGGCATGAACAAATCAAATAAAAAGATAATGGAATTTTTCCAGAAACTTTTGAAGTCCTCCTACTCAAATCAGATGCTACAAGAGATTTGAAGCTGCTGCCTATGAGTTGAAGCATACACTGTTACATGGTAACCATTATTTGTAAATAGTTTGAGTTCATAATAGAAAGTACAGGATAGTACATAAGCCAGGGGTTGTCAAGTATAGGTGTCATAGGTTACATATGCATTGCATGCTGAAAGAACACTTGTTTTACATTAAAGAGGCATGAGCTAGATGCACTGTGAAAGAGAAAGTGTCACACTCCTTCAGGTCACCTGCTCGACGTCCCTTCCTCTGGTGGGGATTTCTGAACCCTATCACCATCTTAGGGGGTCAAGGATGCACATGCAGTCAGACAGCGCCCAAACGGATGTTGTCCCAAGCCACTGACTGTACAAAATGTACAAAGCACAAGAGACTCAAAATTATATTTCACATCCGAGGTGGATCTTGTATGAATGACATTTCACGAGCATCAGCAGAGCTGACAGACTAATACAGTAAGACACTTCTGTGGAGCAGAACTAATAAGTCTCCTGGCACAGCTATCAAATTAAATTTATATGACTCTCCACCCTCATTAGAGGACTAACTGTGGAAACCATACGCTTTGTGGGTTTAAACAAGAATCACTTCAAAATAAAGGTAGCCTTATTATATTTTAAATACCAGCAAGCAACACAGAATGCGGCACAATATCTTTAGCTTATTGTTATAAGGCAAAGGTCTATGATGTATTGCCACAAAATGATACTATATATGATTACGACTAGCGAGAGACGAGTTTGTTGAAGGGATATTGTTATTGATTGTGTCTTATTTTTAATGTTGTTTTTGTATTGTTTTGTTTTGTTTTGAGCCAACCCTGTTGCAAGGACACAACATGTGACTTTGTGGCAGGTATGGAATCACTTTGCTACAAGGAGGAAGCAATCCCCAATTGTTCTGTTGGTTCCCCACTGAGCTAGTAATGATTCAGGAGCAGATGGCAGGAGGGCCCACACAAAGGGTTTCTGAAACACAGCTGCTGCTCGGTGGTTGCTCATTGAGTAACGAAAGAGGCCAATGGGCTTCAGCTGCATACCTGGAGAAGAAGGTGATACTTCAGCACGCGTTGCATGGGGACCACAAGCAAATCTCGAAGAGTGAACTTCCCATTATTCGCTCTTTTGGAACATTCCTAATAAAACATTTAAAAAAAAAAAAAACCTGCTCATTTTCTCTGACAAGTCATAAAGCAAACATTTGAAAACACAAAGGCTATCATGGAATTATTGTGATTATACAAGGACTTAATCCAGAAGGAAGGGCCATCAATTGAAAAACAAACAAACGAAAACACAGTAGTAGCCTTTCCTTTGCAAATATGAACCAATCAACAGATTTTAGAGTGAAAATCTGTCTCCACCGCACAAACGGGGTCCTCAGCTTTCCCTTACAGCACCACTTCCCCTTTGGGCATAAGGGCCAGGCATGGAGAGCAAGCCCCTGCCCGTCATACTGGCCATGCACTTTCCCACCTCCAGCCTTGGTGGCTCACTGGGTTCTCTCCAATGTCCATGTGCTTTGTCCAGTTGCCAACAAGATCCATCCCAGTCCTCAAGAGCTATGTACTTCTCGGCTTCCAGTAATAATCTCAATACAACTTTCCCCCTCTCCTTACACTCCTCAGAAGTGGATGTTTGTTTAACCAATATTTGTTGAACACAATGAAACTGAAGGTTTGGCTCTGAAACTTTGCTGAAGTGTAAAGTTACCACAGTGGTCCAAGTTTTGAAAAAGCCTCCCGTTTTATTTGTTAATCTCATACTCTTCTTTCTTAAAAACTGGCTTAAATATAGCATTGATTTGTTCACTCTTTCTGTAACAGCCACAACACAGAAAAGGCAGCTCTCAATTTGAAGCGTCAATGCCTAAATTGAAATCAGCTTTCTCCTGGCTGTGTGTGACCTTGGACAAGTTACTGTTCAGGTTTTATGGTCTCACGTGTATCTGTAGCGTGGTTCAAAACAATACAAGGAAATGCCCGGTGAGTATTATTACTACCAATAAACCTCATCAACCCCAAATCTTCAGCTAAATGACATCTCAGAACAAGGGATTTCCCAGACCATGGAGGGGGACTACTCAAGGAAACAGTTTGTTTCTACTTTACCCGCACTCAGCTCTCTGGGCACAGTAAAGACTATATAATTAGGGGCTGCAAAACAAACAGCATTAGCTCTAACGATGGGGTACTTAGTGAGTGTGCTTTAACACAGATCTTAGGCAAGAAGAACTGGGGGCGCATCCTGGCATATTCAGTCAGGTCGTAAGAAAGGTCGTTATTTCAACTTTCTTCTTCAGATCGTAGAGCATCTGATCTCAAGGCTCAAGCAAGAGGTTAAATTAGTATTGTAATGAATGGGTTTGATCATCACAGCTGTGTTTTTTTAACTCTTTGGAACTGAGGTTTATCCTAGCATAAGGTTAGGAGACTGTGAAGAAAACAAAAACATAATACACGTATACCATCCCCTTTGTTAGATGATGGAAATTACTATAAATTGTGTGTGTGTGTGTTCTAAGTTGTAGGCTTTGAAAGTAAAGAATGCAACTAGCATGGCTTACATTAGCTACAGTGAGGGGGCTAAGATCAATGTTAATTGTTTACTAGCATTGATAATAAGGAGCCCTGGTGGCATAGTGAATTACACACTGGACTGCTAATCATAACATCAAGAATTCGAAACTACCAGCTGCTGCACTGGGAAAAGATGAGGCTTTCTACTCCCGTAAAGAGTGAGTCTCCAAAACCCACAGAGGCAATTCTACTCTGTCGTGAAGGGTCACTAGGAGTCAGAATCCACTCAATGGCAATGAGTTTGGATTTGGGTTTGCGTATTGTTAGGTAAAGAGGTAGAAGTAATTTTCCCCCAAATACCCAGTCACTTGCTTCCCGTAACCTCCAATCCTGAGGAAAATAACATCTGTGGGGTGGATCCAGGCTGATAAGGCAACATAAAGAGACTCCAATACCCTTTGCTGTGTTCTCTTGGTTGCACCGGGGAGAAATGAAAGATAAAAATCAACAAGAATGAAAACAACTACAAGCCAGAAGACACGAGAAGCAAGGCGACAGCGTGGATAAGACCATGTTTCCTTTAGCCGGCCGGGGTCTGCAGAAGGCAGTTCCAGCAAAGATTGCCGCACTGCTGTTGTTGCTGCGGTCCGGTGCTCTCCCCTCATTTCCCACTCATAGTGACCGATGCCCAACAGAAAGCGCTGCTGTGCCTTCTCCACGCGCATTGCCATGTCTGAGAGCTTCGCTGCAGCCACTGCGCCGTCCTCTCCCGGAGGACAATCTCCTCTCGCTCCAATCCGCTTCCTCACCCAGCACGGCCTGTCCTTTCCCAAGGACCGCTCGCTCCTGATGCCGTGTCCAAAGTATGTAGGATGTGGCCTCCCCATTCTTCCTTCCAAGGAGCATTCTGGCTGCATTCCTTACAAGACAGATTTGCCTGGTTCC